GTTTCAGCGATGTTACACGCTCTCGAAACAGGATGCCTAATGTTGTCAATCGCGATATTGTCGGCTATGTTGAGGGCGATGAAGTTTTTCCCATTCTGTATCTTTGATTAACTTCAGAGACGACTGCATTTATGAATTTTAAGGCTCCAACGTTGTGCTTTTGCGCTGGATTAGCTGGAAACTGAATTAGCTATGATATTGACATTATGAGATCTCCGAATGAATCAAGCAACTATAATTTCTCGTTTTGTTCCGCTAACTATTTCTCCAACGTCTTTATTTTGGCTGACAGCGGATACATTAGGTCGACAACACTAACTGAACTCTCTGTCATTTGTCCTTTCGACTTATTTCCCTGCCCTTGTATTCCAGGCGGCTCGGGATGTGTGAAGTAAGGCATAGATTCCTCGACACTGGTGACGACAAGGTTATTTACCATGATTATTCGGTTTTCCACACGCTTTTTCTTCATTGCACGTGTGTTAATGGCAGTCATCAATCTATTAAATGAGAAGATAAAAGCTATCTAGTGTATGCTATAGCCAAGCTTGTATTATGGGGTGACAAAGAACGCTAACATCCAGTGGAATAGCTATTCAAGTCAACAACATGGCCACTGTTTCAGTTTCAACTAATGATACAAGCCAACCGGATGTAAGAGTGCTCCGTTGTCCCAATTCCCCCAAGGGTGCATTGTCCTCCAGTGATCGACCGCTCCGTGCCAGGTATCCCTGAGGTCAACTCAGTGGTGTCACGTTATGCCGCAAGTTCCAACGGGCGCACATGCACAAATCCGGCTAAACAATGAGATTTGTCTGCGTTCGGTAGAACGCGATTCACAATACGGCGTGAAAGCGCTTGGTCAACCATGGCAGTGTATGAATATGTAATTCCTTCTACACCATTTCCCGGCCAAGTTGTTCTCTTGTGCAACAGAAATAATCTGAGGGGGCACTCAACATGAGTCTACTCAATTAATTTGTTCCTTGCGTAGGACCTGAAGCGTCTCATCTGCACCCCAATGACTTAGTGCGTCTGTGGTCCAGTTGGCTGAAGACGACGGGCCATACACGCACACCTACACACTGCACAGGTGACTGGCGTACTCAAGGAACAAATTAATTGAGTAGACTCATGTTGAATGCCCCTCAGATTATTTCTGTTTGCCAAGTGGATAACCTGGCAGGGAAATGGTATAGCCGCCTTAATCAGCTACCGACAGGGTTGGTTTTAGGTCACCTGAAGTAGACCTAGCAATAAGCTTTCCGATAATTCAAAAAACCTAGATGATGGTAGAAAAGTGGTGCACTCGTAGGAGAACGACAACGCTAAAACACAGCCAGAATTGAAAACCGGCGTTAGACGTTGGTCCATTAATAGTAGCCTAGAGAAGGTTTGCGCAGTGGGTAGAACTGATCAAGTCCGATTGAATGAGTGTACCGAGGCCGATGTGCAAAAAAATACTAATCCGAAAACTTTAAAAGTCAGGAGCAACAAAACTTTTCCGACCGGCACGTCACGAAGAAATCGAACATGTATGTACAGAAGTATAGCTCAAAAACAACCGCCATTATCCCTTTCGATTGTTTGTTTTTATAAAAGCCTTTCCAATTGCGCAACACCACCTAAGCCGTTCAACGCTTCCTCCCAGACGTACCTCGTGGCCTAGATTTCGCTTTCCCTATCATTCGATTGCAATTCATGCGACAAGTAAACCTCAGCCACGTCAATCACCCTTCCAGCTGCTGTCTTAAAACGTTTTCACCACCAACCTTACTTAGTACAAATTTGGCAAGCTCACGGTATAATCCATCGTTTACGTTGTGTCATCTTCTGGTAACGGGGTCCTTGTAAACGAAATCTAGGTTAATAGTCTTACCAGCTCCGAATTCATTCAAGCAACCACGTCAGCTTTGTAGTCGAGTCAACTAAAATGGATACCTACTAGCCTGCTGCACTCAGCACACCCGGTCCTGGTAAGTGACTTTCTTAGAGCAAACGAGTTCCAGCTGGCTTTCCCGATACAGGGCAATCGGCTTTCAGCGAGCTCATTGATGCTATCTCCAGCGTAGCGTTCCCTGTTCACTGGGTAACGCCTGTTCGTAAGTTTCCTAAAAGGAATGTTTTAGAAGTTGCGCAAGCGTCGTTCTTCAGCAACAAGCTATAGGACAAGGACAAGTTTCCTGGTTCTCCAGTTGCAGGCAGCTTTCGTAAGTCCGCTACAGCACGTTTGATAGGGACATGCTCGCCAACTACATAGAGATTAGCTAATTCCCAACTTCATAGGAAGGTCATATTTCATGATCTAAGCTGACCAACATCCCTCATATTTAGCTACAAATCATTCATAGACAATTAATAACAACGGAAATATATGCAACTACACTTCGTCTACCTGTTTGATACTTAAAATGTTCAACCTACACTAGTCAAGGACCTAATCGCCGGGGAGGTCTCCCGACTTAACATCTTTCTTCAATTTCTCTTTTTGTCGAACTTAATGACATGCCATCAGTTTTGGCTCGATGTATCTATTCAACCCCCCTTTGGTTTGCTTCACTTTATGTGCATAGAAATCTTCTCTAAAGCACGAACCGATATATTCTTTGTGAAAATTCCACAGCTTGTATCCTGTCAACCCAAGATATTTGCACATGATTAAGCGTTGTCCTTGCTATCTTTTCTTATTTTTCTCATCTATGATGTGAAAAATAAGCACTCCCCAGTTGCTGTGTGTGCACACATTCTCATTGCAAACTCCTTTTATTCAACATTGCAGTTACATCTGTAAGCGCCTGAACTGAAGACTACATTACACCTTCACTATCTTTTTTGTCACGCTAAACACGCTACGGGACATGTCAAGCACCTGCTATTGTACCCGTTATAAATCATTGTTCATTGTTCATTGTCATTCCTGCCACTTTCAGAAGCACAGTCCTTGTTACCCTACACTCACTGTCCCATTCTGGTATTCGTGAAATTTTAAAAATGCTCACGGAGCGTTTTGTCATTTTAAGCGTAAAAAATGCGGCGTAGTGTGTACATGCGTGTGGATCTATGATGACTACATCTAAACAATAAGTACACCATTACAAGAGGAAGACGAATGATCGAACGAAAATGCAGACTTGATTGCCCGTAATGTATGTGTAACATATCTGTCAACGTGGCATGTTTATGTGGTGAAGGTTTTCTTGCTATTATGCCACACAAGAGCACGGCTAAACAGAGCATGAAAGCAAAAATGAATCAATTTTAAGAACACACTGCATGAGAAAGTTACTCTGGAGATATTTATCCGTCTAGGCTTATTACTTCACTGGAAAATCCGGCTACATATGTAATTGTTTTTCTTCATAAATCCTCAAAGTTTCTGTTGCATTCAATTGTCCACCACCGCAAAACTTCGTGTTAGCAAGAGGAAGATAATTTAAAAATTCTCCAGCCTTATTTATCAAACTTATTTATCAATTAAACTGTTTCAACCAGTGTCGAGATATATATGATCTATTAGGCTATTATTTACTTATTTTGAACGTTTATATAGCTAGCCTTACAGTTACTATCTCATAATATCACTTTGACACGAATACGAGAGTCGCCGCAGTAGGTAGGTATAACGTAGTTGTATGCTTTGTTTCAGCTTAGAGTCATCCGTGTACTAAGGGCTACGAGTTTATTCCTACCCTGTTTCGGCCACCGTGCTCAAATTTTAGGGCCCTGGGTCCCGAACACAAAAGTTTCCAAGTCAACATACCTCAGTCATGTTCTCTAGTTTATCGCATTTTGTGCCAACATAGCTATGTACCTAATAAGTGTGACAGCAACATAATCGGTGCAGAGCCAACCAAGTTATTTATTTAAGCTGTTTACTTGCCGTCGCATTCAAATAAGCACATAGAGCAAGCTAATATTAACTGCGACCGACACACAAAATACTTGATTTAACCTATTGTGCGGAAAAGAGTACTATTCGTCAGTGGCTCGGTGGGCACTATTCTGTGTCGGACTTCGTTTTGCGTCGTGCTCCTAGTTCTGTTTAGATCCATATATCGAATGGAAATGTTGTCTAGACAAACACGCCGGTTCCTGAACTGGGTAGACGACGGACCCTGAACATGCCGCACAATGGTCACACAAAGCGAGTGGGCGATACACCCATTTATGATTGATTTCAGTTATGGTAGACAACATGAAACTAAGCGTTTTACTAAGTTTGATATTTGGGTGAACTGTAGCAAGCTAGTGACTACACATACCAATCAGCAACTAAGTAAGGTGCTGAGTGAGCAATTGTCTAGGCTATTCGATTAGATTGCAGCAAACCGCTTTGTGTGAAAGTGAATTTACACAAGAACTTAAAAAAGGAAACAGTTTTGGTCGTGTGTTTAAATAAGAGGTAAGTCCAAGTTATTGGTGTGGACTATGAATCACAATAATAAGTCAGTTGATAAAGCCCTTAAATGGATACCTTCTATAAACAAACGGCTTAATGGTTTTATAATATGTAATGAACATGCTTTGACGTCTTGACATTTGTTCTCCATCACTCACTCCAGACTTATCAGTTACGGTTTCTACGGACGGGAGGCCGCACACTGATTTACTGAATCGCAAACTTGGAGAAAGCGTGGAGTCATACTGCGAAGCAAATGTAGGTGGTTCGCCTATACATCTTGTTTGCCGTATTTTTGACTACCTCGTCTTTATCGCATTAACACTTGCAATTAAATGGCAGGGAATTTGTCACTACAGATTCTGCGTTAAATTTATATGTTTAAACAACTTTGATCCTGACATATTATTATTTATGTTATTTGCATTTTAGTAATATTGTCAGCATTATGTTACTATCACTTCATCGTTTAGCTTTTAAGTTCCATAAAACTGCGGAGAGAAACTGTAGAATCCACAGGTGGTTTTACGAACCCCGAACGAAGGAGTTGATCTGCGTTTGCAAGGTGTCAGACGTGCAGGATGAAGACGGAAGGCTGTTAATGGGAGACGGAAATTCTCGCGGGATTTTGTCAATTTCTGAGGATACATTTAAAGAATGTAAGTTGCAATTACGTGTGTGCCACTTCGCAGTTCTTACAACTTCCATATTCGATAGCATGTGTGAAGTAATACAACTGTCCACCTTAAATTGCATATATAAATTGCATATATAATTACCGCTCGAATTGTTTGATGAAAAACAAAAACTGGATTTAACATTGATGTCAAGTCACACAATACCATTGCTGTGCACGAATTCCTTGGTTTGCATATACATAGTATCGCTCTTATGCCTTGTTGATTCCAGATGATGATATCCTGCAAGGATCATTCTGTAGGTTCTACTAACGTTTGCTTCCATATATCTGTCACTGTTGATTATTTACAATTTGTAGGACGCAGCTGAAAACACTCATGATATATACCACTTCCCTGTCGACATTGTGCCCTGCTGAATAATGTAACACAAGTACTGTTATTTAATGGTATATATGAAATGAGTAATTTTCATTTAAGTTAATGTTGTGCGTTCACAAATCAGGTAAAAGCTTTCTATTACCACAAGTTCGTTATATATGTCTTGCTGGGAAGCAACTAACTGATGCAGAAACATCGCACAATTAACTAAAGGCAGAATCTCAACATCAAACTACTTCTTCTTTTTCATGTACACCTTAAGTTGGTGACCAGTTCATTAAGCAGTTTCACTGATTTGAATAACGAATATGGAGGGGATAATTTGCTAGTAATAATTGTCAAATATTTCACATTTGTGGCAGAGAAATAATATTCGGTATTTATAATTTCCGAAGCTTTACTGAAACGTAGAGTTAATTGAATGCATGTTTAGCAACATAAGCTGAGTCTTATTATCGACATTTTGTGGTGCGCTGAGATGCCTGCGAGTTGTCACGTTCCAATTGTCATGCCTATGGTAATAATAACAATAAGGATAATAATATTATTAATATTATTTTATATTTATCATCGTACCGAGAAACCTTAGCCCACAAATGGACAGATCATATTTACGTTGCAACATGCTCATGCATGCAAGACCGTCAACTGTTTGGTTTTTTGCAGTGTTACAATAGAAATGTTTTGCGAATATTTTCATTTTGGACTTTGTCGCCGTATGTTACCAATTCGCAGGCATTCTCATTTGGTTGTTTTCGGTCAGCTTGTTTATACCGTGCTGGAGGCGGTTTGATTAGGGAGGGGAAGGAGTATGAAAGTAAACACACACGAGGAATCTCATTGCAGATTTACACGCAAGATTTAGTATTACCGTTCTTCTCCGTGGATATCTGGTCCGTTGAAAATATTTGTAAATCAATGAGGATCATTCAGTGTTCCCATGGAGATTCTGTACAGATTCTCATCGGTTTCACTCAGAACACCAATGTGTTGTTACCTTTCTCAGTGTGTCAGGTGCGTCCGCTTCACCACTTAGTCCTGATCGCTTTCACTATTGCAGCATATGCACTGAAAATCTGGACCGAGTCGGACGCAAATCAAACTGCTCGCAATCTAGTGAGTAATCGCACGCTACAAATTCACCAGTCATACCAAATATCAAAATGATATTTTAGCATGTGTTTTCCAGGACTATTTAGAATACGTCGTAAAAGCTTCATTTATGTTTTTCATAATGTCTGAATGTCGCTTTGTCCTACCACTTGAAGGTTGCTGTTCATAAATTGTTGGCAGCGCGAAAGCAAGTTAAAACACATCACAGTGGATTTGATTCTTATTCGGAATGCACTGACATTCTTTACAGATAGTGCTAACTTACGAGATCTTGCTGTCATATTATAAACGAATACTGGCAAACTAGCATAACTGCATTGCGATCCGCAAATGAAAGCTAACTTGCCAGTGGCAACAGTTTTTGTACCGTCTCAGCTAGAGCCAACATGCCTTTTACTCTCACACTATCTTGCTCAATTAAATGACATAGACAATTTAGTAAGTTGGGTTTTCGTGAGGCAAACGAGTTGATTACCATCGAGGACGTTCTGAGAGAATCTCAGTCTGTGTAATTATGAGTTTGTGTGATAAATTCCGCAGCATCTGATGAGCTCAATTAGTTCACCGCGATATCACACGATGGAGACCTCAGCGTCATGATGAGAGTTCCATGAGTTCACTGCTGCGTAATAATACAAAGGTTTGTCCTGAATAGAGCTCTGTTGTTTCCATATCCTAAGGTTTCTAGGTCTTGAGTATAACTCGGTTGTTGTTAAAACGGCCTGAGTCGCTGCCTGGTTATTGTACGTCTCAGATAAGCCAAGCGAAATTTGCGCAAGTCTGGCGCAACTCTGCTAACCCCGTAACACATATCCAATGTGATTCTCCATGTGATTCTACCAACTCAACGGCAAGGCAATGCCTTGCATTCAACGATAAATGATATGTTCCAACCGTGATGTAAATTATGCATGGATACAAACAAAGCGTTTTAAGGATGCTTGGAAACATATTATTATGCAGCAGATTGCCATGGAAAATATTTCGAAATGTGCTCAGTGCCAAGCCATGTTTGGCTAAGCAGAGGCATGACCTGCCATGGTGCTTTACAAGTTTAAATGTCTGCCCGTTTCAGATGTAACGAGTATCAACTACGCAGTTGGCCGAAACATCAGGCTCATCTCCAAGGGCTCCTAATGTAGAGTTAAATACAGTTTGTTCTGTGCACGTTCCAAAAGCTTTCACGGATTGTTGGCCAGCAACTCATCCGAAAAACGATTGTCTGCCTGCCCTACAAAATCCCGCGCACGTTATCAGGAAACCTTAGTGTTTAGATAATATTGCAATATCTTTAGATCCGGAGTATTGGTATCCAGAAACGCAAAGCCTATCATGCAAACTGACAAGGCTTCGGTATTGCCAACTATCCACTTTTGCCATATTTATTATGAAAATCATAGCATAGTTTAATTACTTGATTACAAAAGCTGGTAGTTCAACGCTTGTATTCTACTTCTGTTTAAAAGCCGGCTTGCTAAAGAATGCGAAATAAGTACTCAATGCAATTCAAACCTTAAGGATCAATGCGTCTATGCGCCGGCTATATATAATGCGGTCTAAACACAAGGAAGGATAATTTATATAAAACAGCCTCTGTATCCCGCCCACCTTTGTCTAACTTGGAATTACATTAGATGCTGACCTCCGCTAAGAGGAATAAGCTGGTTTATTTTAACAGCCAATCTCCGTGACCAGCGGAATGCAAAGTGTACAGCCTAAAACCCTAGCCAATCTCGATAAACGATTTGCAGCGGAATCACATTAGATTAAATTTAGTTTACCTATTTAGTACGGTGTAATTTCCACAGTGGGTTTAAAGGTAGGAACACAACCGGCCAACTTAGGCTGATCGTAGACCAAGGAAGAATTCCGGATTGATTCATTGACAGAAGTAATTACTTGGGCCTCCTTGCTCATGCAGCACTATATCAGTTACATGTGCCAGGCATAATATCTGAAAGCTAATATCGAGGAATCTCACGTCATGACCGATTAGGTTAATCGGTCTGATCTCGTTAGCCCAAATAACCAGTTATTTTTGATAGCTTATTCCCTTAAGTTATCCGCGTGAGTTTTCAATCGGTTTGACAAGCTAGTGGCATAAAAATTAGAAACAGATATGCACCACTCAAAGAAGATAAATCCTTCCCTGTGGCGCATGAATCCAAAGTTTGCAGCATTCAGATACTTGTCTTGTTAAGACTATGTAGCGTTTCTAAGGGAGCACACCTTACTAATACTCGTTAATGAATATCTATTTGCAACACAACCGTGTCATTAAATGTTGCTCAACATTAATCTATGTAAATGACGCGTGTGCAAAATTTGTAGAATCAGGCAAGCAATGTCTGCTCCAAACTAGGCATTCGAACCGACTGGAACGTAACAAAAGGCGGATAACCCTCCAGGAAAGCAATTTCGTTGTAGGTACGGAAGGTTACTATAATCCAGCATCCTTCCTACATAGATTGTAAAACCACTAGCTCTTAATCGCAAATTTATTTGCATTGCGATCATACCTAATAAGTTGGCATATTTGCTCCAATACCCTTCTACCTGTGTAGAAGACCTTCGCACTAGGCTTTTAAGGCAGCTATGAGTGTTTACTTTAAACGACAGCAATATTATTTCAAAGATCCATAAAGAGATGCAGTTCCTTACTTGTGGAAGCACAGCATTTTTACTTCAAACCATAAAAGAGACATGGTGCAGAAACAGCAAACTACCTGGCAATAATAATAATTATATTGATCAATTCATGGAGTCCAATATCTCTGAGGATCTCATTGGGCTCATGCAGGGTACATAATTTTTTTCACCTAATCAGCGCGCATTTCGTACATTGAACCAAGTAATATCTCTTGCAAAATCGACACTATCTCTCGGTTTGGAGGGTTTGTGGATGCTCTCTATCTGAAAACTCGCTACCTATTATCAAGCTGCTAAGTTATGTGATTGGATATCCATGGAGGGGTTTGATAGATATCCGAGAATATGCAATGTCATATAACGGCAGGGTAGCAGTAACATACACTACTTAACCAAAACTCAGGGAGGTGTACCTTTAGCTTTTGCACCCAGACCCTGCCTGTGCTTGTTCTTCTAACTGACCTAGTGGGGGTGGGCTCTTTACGTTTTCCACTATTCGGCTTCGACCTTAATTTTCGGTGTGGTGTCGCTGCAGTGGAAGATCCTACAGCGTTGCTCTATGACCTGAATAATGTATATGCAATGTTCTTCGAGTATTTCATACATTCAGCGCCGACTACTAGAATGTTCTGAGAATAAGCCAGCAGAGCAATCAGTACTCATTGCCCGCGCCACGAATTCCGAAGCGCAATTCTCTTGACTGTAATCTCCGTGTGCTCTTTCAAGATGATTCTGACTGTTTGATGTATAATAACCAAGCAGCAAACTAATTTAGCACTAGTCGTTCTGCGTGGTGAGCTCGGAAATGTCACTACCCCAATGTTTGCGCAGTTGTTCGGCGCATGTTGTAGTCCGTACTTATAAAATGATATCAATAGGTGGCGGCACCGCACAAATAAGACTTTAAAATGCTCGAAACTGCAAAGCGCAAGGCGATAAATAACGCTAACTGACGGTCCCAGCTTCTATACTATACCTGGCCGAAAAACTTTGGTATGCATAGAGATGTTTACAATGAATCAGTTAACAACTAGCCCAGGAGACAACATCCGATGTCTTTAGAAAACCAAGCAGTACCAATCTTTAAGAAACCATCATTTTTATTTGACCACACAGAAGAGTGCAATGGGATGTCAACAAAGTGTTTACTCCTTCCGAGTGTTACAGTCTGAAACGTGATTATTGCCTCCACCAAAACGTTGCTGATTATTGGATGCATTTTCTCCAACTTATACGACCATTGATTGTCATATGATGCTCATATTATGGCAGGAGCGACGGTTAATATCAACCGAATGACTTACATACTTGACGGGAATATTCACACCCGTGCTACCTCAAATCTCTTTGTGAATCATGTAGTTTGCGTGTTCTTTTATCTACTGAATACTGGTTCGAAGCGGCGAGTAGGGCTTTCTCTGTGTAGCTGCATCATTCGTTGCTCTTGGACATGTACTCTTTATTTATCATTCCGCTCTCTATATTTTGTCGCTGCAAAGTGTTTGTCTAGGAGCTTCTTAAATTCGCACACTGTGTTTGCCTTTACTACCTGCTGCGGCAGGTCGTTCCAGACATTCACCACTCTGCGTTCGAAACAGAGTTGGTAAGCGACCCGCTTTACTTCGGTACGATAAGTTTATACCGGTGTCTTCGCGTGCTGCTTGGTGTGCGCAGATGACGCAGTTGTCTCAGCGTTGAGTAATCACTCATATGTAATATCCGATGCGTCATGATGAGGTCAACCATCAGCCGACTGTCAGCTAGAGTTTACAGTCCTAGTTTCTTACATCGGTCTTCGTATGGCATGCCGCGTAAGTTTGGAATCAGCGTGGGGGCTACATGCTGTACTCGTTCAAGCTTTTTACCTCGCCCAGGGTGATAGGACAATATGCGGGAGAGCCGTACTCTATCATTGGTCGTATTATCAAGACGAAGAGGCGAGTAGCAATGTCTTTGGACCAAGTGCTGAAGCTGCGCCTGAGGGCCCAAAGCTTCCGAAGGCGATTTTGGTACAGCCTATTCGTGTTGTCAATGGACTTTAGGTCGCAGCGTGAGAGAACACCGAGGTTTCGCACGAAAGGCACAGGATGCAACGATTGACCAGCCACTATGTACGTTCGGCTGCACTCACACTTACGTAACCTCATAAATTGTGACTTGGCAGGGTTCCTCTGCAGACCATGTGGAGAGGCGGTCGAGGTCCTGTTAAAGTAAATCACAATCATTGAGTGTGCGGATTACTTTCCACAACTTCAAGTCATCTGCGAACAACACACAAGATGATTGCAGTAGCTGAGGCACATCGTTTAAATGGATCAGAAACAATATCGGCCACAGTTCAGTGTCTTGGGGCAGGCCGCTGCTCGATGGATACGAGTAAGTTAGATGGTTGTCCACCTGGACCCTCCAATTTCGATCAATAATGAAATTGCTGATCCATTTGTGCAGCGAACCCCCAATAATGCACATCCTCAGCCAGTGTTTTTTTATTTCCCGTGCTAACAAGCCTATGTCTTTGCCAAGCATTTGCTTTGGAACCATTGCTACTTTGTTTACTCTTCTGCCGTCAAACGTCCATAAATCTCTTTTAAAGTTCATACAATTAGCTCTTCTCCAATCAGAGAGCGTGCTTGTTAAATCGTTTTCCTTTAAGTCTTCTTGATTCACCAATATTTAGTATCGGAAATGCAATCAGCTCTTTCTATCTCTCATCCAGTTTCCTCATCTAACACAAAATGTTAGCGTCGAGCCACAGGTGTTTTGTGAACCGAGACCACAACAAAACCACACCTATTCTTGTGTGATTTTACTGTACAACATTGAAGAAGTGACATGGGATTATCCAGAAAATTGGGTCGGCCCAGCGAGATATCTCAGAAATATATTCTACGATGAGAGCAAAATAACTGTTCAATTTGTCGGAATGCATTGGCCACCAAAGCATTGTAAGTTTGCTTTTGGTTTAAAAGAACCTAATGATATTGGGTCTCAGAATAATTATCTGTTAACAATTTTATACTGCGTTCTGCTACTTGCCACGCACAGCCCATGCAACGAGTGAAAATTTGCTCAAGTTCTGATAGATCTTTTCCAACCACTCCAATTTTGGGACGGCTAGATTAGTGACTTGGTAATATCGCTTCACCTGTGTCTAGCAATGTAAGTACAAACACATTCCTCTCAAATCCTGTGCATTTGTACTGACAAGCATGTTTATCCTGATCCCTCATTTGACAGCAATTGATAGTGGGCAGTTTCGTGAGTCTGCATTGTTTTGCTTGCTAAGGGCATTTATTTTCTATTCGAAATCACATGAAAATTTCTCTGGCGCTTCCAACAAACCTCAGTTGCCCCTGCAAGCACTGAAAACCAAGCCATTTCTATTTGTTGGCTATGATGGGTTCTCTTGATTGATGTTATTTTGTGAAAGTTAGCTGCAAGTTCGACGTGGTGGTGTGTGTAATCAATCAATTAAATGTTAGTTACTTCCATGTGCGTTGTACATTTTCGTTCCCAAGACGTGGACACGGTCATGGAAGTCGAGGAAGGAACAACCGACATCTGCAAGTCATTTTCCGAAAAAGCAAGTGCACAATTTATTTAGTGGTTCATTAATTGAAGCTAATTTTTGTTATACAACGTTTGCTGTCAACCAAAGCTGAATGTTTCACCGCAACGCAAATTAAAGCATAAGGACCCAAATACACTTTACCGGACTGGATGGCGTATCGCGTTTTATTTGCTAAAATTAAGAGCGCAACATTTTAAGCTGAACTTGCATTGTAAATTTACTAACAGCTTCGGGCAGATATCCTAGGCAAGTCAAATAATAGATGAAATATATTTACCATCCCATGGAAGCCTTTTCGATATATGTCACTAACGATGTGGATGCAACGGTGCATGAAATATAAATGAACTTGTAATTCGGAAGTAATGACAAATAATGCATGCAGGCTGCTACTAATTTCCTTGGCGCCAAAGGTAAACTTATTATATAAACGATCATAGAGGAATCATACGAGATTGCGCGCAGAAAACAAAGCATAAATTTATAGGGGGCAATAGAAAGGGAAGAGCTTTTAGAAAATCAAACAGAATGTGGTGAAAATTGTCATTTTAAAACTGAAGAAAGTTCCTACATGCACCAAAAGCCTAGTAAAAATGTAGTCAATCAGAGACTGTAGGGGCAGTTAAGGACACCCGGAAATGTGCTTAATCAAATAACCGATGAAGGCGAAGTCTTTTTGCGAAATCGCATGAAAAATATTAAGTGAGCAATATATATAGTGAGGAAGCAATTATGACTTCACTAATTCATATCCTAAAAATTAGGTATTTGAACTTGTGTTTTCTCAGAGTATATAATTGTGAGTTTTTCTCCTTCCGGAACTTCCTATCCATATGTGTTAATCATGAGTGATTATGGGATAAACATGGTACTTTAACTGTGCATGGACTGTGTATGTTTTGATCGATTGCTCTTACAGGCTGAGAAACGTTTGCCAATATCAATCGTTTTTCAGTGCTTTGTGAGGTTATATCATGGCGTTTACAAGCATTAAGAACAATGGATCGGGACGAAAATCACCGATGTAGATGATCCATTCTTCTTAGGAGAATCAATGATAACTCAGCAGCTAGAGCGATACTGCATAATATTAAGTCGTTGGCCTACTTATATCCAACAAATTTGTGAGGAATCGGAAGCAGCTTAATGGATAAAAATGTAAGGTTGTGCATTGTTTAAAACGTTACTGTCATCACGAAGCAAGGAGGAATAATTATCCCTCAGCTATGTGAAGTAGGAGCAGTTTACGGATTTGTTGCCATTCAAGCTGCACGCCATTGGCAGACGGCAAACTGTTAGGCTTCATTTGTCGACACTACCAAAAGCGTTGGACGTTATATAGCCATGTGATCAGCCGAACGATTTTATGATAATTAGCGAAGTATGTGCAAAGAATGTATTACGAGAAGAGCCTTAGTTTTGTCGACTCGAACTATAACTTAAGCTTATGACATTTGTATCTCCAGCAAAGACTTTATTTCTTGCAGCAAGTTATAAACAATTTCATTGGCAATGCATCAGATGCTTAGGGGAAAATTCCCTCCAGTCCAGGCATAAATTGATTTCCTATGATCGCTATATATGCATCTGAGTTTTAGGTCAGTGTTTCGTAAATTCGGTTAATTCTGTCTCACTCTGATTTAATCAAACATAATTTGAACATATCTGCAATGGCTTTTGCTGCCACATGCATGTTGATTTTGGTTCCCTTTTGCTGAGTCAGATTAACAAGTGGGCTTATTCGCTCGAATGCGTTTTTCACCGAATTCCTTACGAGTGGTGTTGGCAGACTGCTACTTACGCAACTTCATATACAAGTACATCAGTACTAGTCGACAACTTTCTATCAAATGAAGATATAATTCATTTGGCCAAGTATGAATTCCGTTGCAAACACACTGCGTTAGTCAAACTAAAGGATTTATGGGTTTAATTGCAAAAAAAATAAATTTTACAAACATTATAGCATGTTACTGGTTACCCTACGGAAAGACTTCCATCAGGGCTCTGCAAGAAAATGAGCGGTTTCCGTACGCGGTGCATTTTGTAGGTTTGCCTAGCCCTGAAATTAGCTACTTTCTCCTTTGCCCATCAAGCAGTCGCTCGGCGCGCCTCCCGGTAAGTTCGTGACAAAACGACAGCGTACTAAATCATGATTAGTGTCGACGCAGACCAAGCGACCATCCGAGATGCAACCACGCCACCAGTAACTAATTTCAACGTGACTTATTTGGGTCTATCCGTGGTTACCTACAAGAGGATGCCAAGTGGCACTTCGGTGCTAACTGTGTTCAAAAGCGGTAATACTTAGAGCAGCTGGTGCTAGGTACACATCTAGAAGAGTCACTATCCGTTGTTCATCCTTTCGGAGTTAAGTCATAAATTGCCTCTTATAAAACTTCTGAATTACGCATACTTACTTGCGCTTTCCCACCATCCATAATACTGATAACAGAACTGGTAACACAACATACGAGGGTATACGACTCATGGCAGAAATCTTCATTTGCATTATCAGAGCTGCAATCGGTGAGGACACAAGCAGAAACCACAAACGGCGTATGAGCTATTCCTTAAATCAAACTTCATTGTCATCGAAACACACTAGCTGGGGTGGGAAACCCACCTCAGCTATTGTACTGCGACAAAAGCAAAAATTAGACTATAAAACTACACTAGGAATCACACAAAAATTACACTTTAAACAATGAGGGAAATAATATATTTTACGTATGCATGAGAACAGGATTGTAGGAGGAACCAAAAGGGAGGGGAATGGACTAAATACGCCCAACAAAAAGTTATTAGTGCCGGTTGCTTGCCATATCAGCAAGTGTGTCGAACCCAACCAGGTAACCAGGATATGCCAACCGATGCCAGTTTCGAAGTTGGTGTTTTCATTCCTTTCTACCAAGGTAAAGGTTCGCCTACCCACCTCCTCTTTCAATCGCACTCCCGGCGCGCAAACAATGCACATCGCGGGAGTCAGTGCGTTAGCATGCACAGCACTTGGCCACGCCTTAAGAGCATGGTTCGCGATATAACTTTGTTGAATGTTTCACTAGCTCTTCCTGCACCAAATATACGACAGCGAACATGCGCATTGCTCGCGTGATGCTCCCATAAGACATGAGCTAGGTTGTGGAGGCAGTGATGTTATAATGTGACGATCCTCCTTATGACTGTCGATCTGATGGGCCAGGTATCACGGCCATATTGAAGAGATGAACCGACGGCTGCGTTATATACTCTACACTTTAGAAGGAGAATAATGTGCTAGAGATAGCGACATTTGGCAACTACACTTCGTTTTTTTGCTATACGGTTCGAAACCTGAAATTCGATCAAACGGACGCTAATAAATCTGTCCAGGTGCTAGAATTGCTGAAAGACGTCTAGCTGATAACCACAAAGCGTTAGTGCAGAGATGATCACTGTCAATCTTGGAGTAACACCTTTCATTTCGATGGGACAAAATATAGCCCAAAACGTTAGACAGAAAATGCTCATTGGTCCATTGCTGCTTGGCATATTTTGGAGCTGTCATATATTAGAGCGATATCGTCCGCTTACTCCCAAGTTAAAATCGCTTACTAAAATTGCTCACCAAAACCACCTTTATGTCGTTTCCAGCGAATGATGTTTCCATTACTTCGACAACTGCGAAGTCAAATAGGAAAGGTGAAAACGGGCTACCTTTTCTTACACCACCATAAATCATCCCTCTGCCCGAACTATGCACTTAGAGCGCTTTGAAAAACTTTTACTCATAGTAGGCACACCTTTCCTCTGCAGACAATTATAATTGGCACCTTGCTCGATTGAGTCTAAGGCAATTTTTCTGTCAAAAGCATGATACCGATGGGTTGACAATAAATATGGTGGTGCTACAAAAATTGATGAAAGATGAAGTTGTTGTCGTTGGAGCCAAGACCTCGACAAAGCCCGCGTTGCTCATCTCAGATCTGGCATTCCCGAGTGCCAGTCAGTCTATGGAAAACGATAGACGCAGGCACCTTGTAGGAAATTGCGATCAGATTGATCCCTATATGATTGCTG